TAACACATTCTACAGGATTTTGGAGACAATCTAGGTATCAACACACATCAAGTGGACCTAGCATATCATACCATCTCATATTGCTGCATGGAGGGGGGTACTTCAAGAGCATCGCCTGTATCTGAATCATTTGCAATGTATGTCAGTTCTTTTGTACTTTTTTGGGAAATTTTGTTGATGGTTTATTGCACAAACTGTCGATCTGTTGTTTGTCTCTTAAGTCTTGTTTATGGATAGGGCAACATTTGGAAGAAATGGAGTAACAAATTCACACAAACAACATTTGTGTGCAGTTCACAATCCCTATGGTAAAATACATGCTAGACGCCAACATCACTTTAGGTGACTGGTAGGTCCATATGTTCTCCCAGCATGTCAACAGGAGCTGTCTACAGAGACTTTATTTTGAATACACTGCTAGAGTATGTACTCCTGCTAATACGAAGACAAATGTGGTTCATGCATGATAGGGCTCCAGCACATTTTAATCACATTTTTTGTGATACACTGCCAAACACCTACCATGAAAGATGGACAGGTAGGGGAGGATTGGTTCTATGGACTGCATGTTGCCCCAACCTTAATCCTTTAGATTTTTACCTGTGGGGCCACTTAAAACACTTGCTTTATGCAACAGATATTATTAATGTAGAGATGCTTCATCAACATGTCATGGTGGTTTGCAAAACCATTTGACACTGTGTGGGAGTATTTGAAAGGATCCATGAGTCAATGATACAGGTGCAAGTGGAGGATATTTTGAACATCTGTTATGAGTTGCTGTGTTAAGTTACAACAGTGACATGTTGGACATATGTTTATAAGGATATTTTATCTTGTTTTGGTGTCAGGAACCCAATTCCAAAGTTTGTAAAATTATTTTAGATTATGCATTTAACAGCATCTACCAAAAATTTAAACTTAATAACTTAAAAACAAAGTATTTGCAGACATATATGGACTTTTGTACTTGTTTTGGTGCGAGGAACCCATGCCCAAAGTTTGAAAACTGTTTATTATATATAATACTATGTTCAGATGGCCTGAAGATTGTGTTTAACCTACTTACTATCAAAGGAAAGAAGGAAGAATTAAGCATTCTTTCTTTTCTCCCTCTCCCACCCTCTCCTTCCCTCTCTGCTCCCTATTTATCTCACTCTCTTTCTCTACCCCCACCAAAATCTTTTAAAACCTTATATGGAAATTTTTCTTTTTCTTTCTTCAGTTTTTAATATTAAAACTTTTCCCTTTTTTCTCTTTTTTCCTTTTCCTTGCATCTGGATAAATTGAACTCCATTTATTAAAAAAAAAAAAAAACCCTAATCTGAAGAGATGAAAGTCCACAAATAAATTATAACCAAATGGATTTTTAAGGATTTTGTATTCATTTTTATATTGCTCTGTTCTTACATTGAGCTCTCTTTGGATTTATATCCTCCTTGGAATTATCCCTACTACTAATTATCAATTGATATTATATATATATATGGCCATGTTGGTCGAAACTAGTCGAGGAATCTAAATGAAATAAGAATAAAAAAACGAAAGAATATTAATCTACAACCCAGTGTGTCTAACAATTTTAATTTTTTATATTTTTTTTCATTGTTCAATATATATATATATATATATATATATATATATATATATATATTCTTTGATGAGTGTATAGAGTGATTCCCAGAGGGTCTGTCTACAAAACTCTGGAGTTGGGATGCTGACAAACCTTTTACTTGTATTAATTATATATATATATATATAAAAGGCAGGATGTGTGTGTGTGTGTGTGTGTGTGTGTGTGTGTGTGTGTGTGTGTGTGTGTGTGTGTGTAACGAATGCATGGCCGCAATTTTCAACAGATTTGCACCAAAATTTACATGCACATGCTCCAAGTTAGCGGAAAGGCCAAGACCAACTTTGCATTTCCCAACTCCCATCAATGGTGGAAATAATCGATTTTTTCATGCTTCTACAGCAGTTTTCATGTAGTTTGCAGCCATTTTCTACTGGCCAGAATGACAGCCATGAATAGGCCGGAAGATTCTATTGGCCACCGTGTGAGCGAACAGCTGACTGACACAAATGTTAACTAGCATGCTAGCATGCAAAACAAATCGCTGCATTTGTCACAAGTGGGAAAAATTTAAATCTGCATGGCACTTTACTCCAATTGACTCATTCGCTTGCTTAAACTCAACGTTGATTCTGGTTCCGCAGAACTGGGCATGAAAAAGTATTTGTTGTCTTTTTTTTTCATTTGGTTTTTCCAGTTACGAGTCCTTTTTTTAAAGCTGATCATTTTGTGTTCATTTTGTTTAGTTCTTTTTTTATAAAAGATTTAATGTTTAGTATAGAGCTTAGAAAGAATTTGCAGTGTGGGACAGACAAGAACTAAGGCATATAGCAATATCAGCACAGCAAACGGCACTCCTTTAAAGGCAAGGAAGGGCAAAAATATTTTAAGTCAAGTGATAGCGATTGCTGTATGAGTCGTACGATTTTTGAATCAAGCACAGGCAATGCCGGGCCATGCTGCTAGTATATATATATAATTAATATATAATTAATCAGTTGACCCTGACGATCCGTATAGGTGAGATCTAGGTAGGTTTACCTGGCTCTTTAGGTTCATATTTAGGTTAGTTCTACTTAGCGTATTAAGCACTTTACGTAATTACTTTTGCTTTAGTCTTTTTGGAGGTTTTTTTCTTTGGACTCTGAGCTTGAATTCTAGACAATTTTTTTCACTTCAATTTCATGGTATTACTTCTTTCTTTTTTTATCCCTTATTTTCCCTTGGGCATTGGTTTGTTCAATTACAAGCTAAAATACCTATGGTTTTTCTAAATGAGTATAACTATGTATATATATATATATATATATATATATATATATATATATATATATATATATATATATCCTTAGGCAACTGTTTATATTTGTCCCCTTTTAAACATATTTCTTTCAATATGACATTGTGACAGGTATTTTTAGTAGTTTTCCATCACGGCAATCCTTCTTGTAGTTTTAGACAGTCTTTTTGTATTGTTATTGTCTAGCATAAGTAGATATGTTTCAATATAAAATCAGTTATTGATCTGTAGGTAGTAAGGCATTTTCTGACTAATCAGGAAGTTTCATTTCAGATCCCATATAAGAAGAGTTATGCACACTCTAGGCATTATAGATATTGTTATTGAACATTAACTATAAATGCACAGTTGACCAGAGATAATCTCCTGGCTGCTGAGTGATAACATATGTGATCAGCTCAGCTTCATTTGAGATGCACACATGAGAAATAGTTGCATGTTAGATATATAAACATGCACTAGAGAGAAGAGTTTCTCAGTCACTGCACACATAAATGTAAGATCTTTGGATGGTGGATATAAGGCTGCTTCTCATGCTGGCCAACAGCAATTAATGATGTCTGAAGTTGAATAAGATTTAAAACTAAACATGAGAGATTAATCTTAAGTTATTTTTTTAATCATTTCACCCCAAGCAAGGTAATAAAGCCACTATGACATAAGGGGGTTACTGAGCATGTGGGAATGAGAAAAAAATCATAATTAAGGAGAGAAAACAATAAAAGAACAGGAATTAAGACGACAGAAGATAATGACTGACATTGCATTGTTGGCACAAAAATACTTTGTTACACCAAAAAAGGGGATCATTATCTTGGATTGCAAGAATGTATGAAAAAATGTATGAAAAAATGTAACAAACTATTAATATATAGATTTGAGGGTTTGGTTAAAAGAGATTAGGGAGAATGAAAATCAAGAAAGAACAAGGCACATTGTAAAAAAATGACGAGTGATACAAAGTTAAATATAAAACCAAAACAATTTTATTAAAATAAAATAAAAGCAAATCTTACTAAATATTAGGGATGCAAAAATTTGGTAGTTTTTGCATCTGGAATGGGGTAATAAATTCCTGGACAAATAAATTACTTTTTCAAAAATAAAGCTCAATCATAGTTGTGGGAAAAGATCAAGTTTACAATCAATATCACTCAAATAACATGAAATATCACAAGAAAAATGCCAGTGTAAACAAAATAATGCAAATTACAATAAGGAAGGTACAATAAAAGGGTTTCAGTGAGATAAAACCCAGTTAAAAAAGGTTTATTCATCTTGAAGGTATAAAATGTGAATGTTCTTAATAGTTCTTGTGATTTGATATGAGTTGTCAAAGTTTATGGCAGAATCCGTTTGTGTTTTCTAAGTTCAGAATTTTCAACATAGAGTGTTTTAGAACAGTTCTTCTTCTGTCATGGAAACAATTATTTTGTTAGAATATTTGGTGGTGAAAATGAGACTTAATTCTGTTGTGGAAATGACAATTTGGTTGCCAAGGCTCTATTGAGGAGTGGGTTTTCATGGCTGCTTGGTCAGATGTTTTTAGAAGGTATAGCGTCTTCCTACTCCTTTGCTTCATGTCTCCTACTCAGCATCACATCTCTTACTGTTCACAGTTGTCATATTGAAGGGATTTTTATAGATAAAGGTCAGCTCTGATTTACCCAACAAATTTTGGCAGTTAAGTATTTCAATAGCCATTGGTTAAAAAATCACATATATCAAAACAATTTATTGTAGTAGAAAACACTTCTGTTTTTCTTTCCCTTTCCTTCACATTCAATTGACCCCTGCCACTCCACTCCTTAGCCAAGGAACTTTGCAGGCAGGCTGGAAAGGTTCAGGTTTCAGTAAATTATATTATTACCTTCATCCTCTCCCCCCAAACTACCATATTAATAAAACATTTGTATTGATAAAATACTTTATGAAATACATTTTGCTGAACAGTATGTAATTGGATTGTCACACCTAACAGAAGACAAGTTTTGTTTGCTTGTGAATATTTGCAGAATATTCTTTAAATTAGTCATATTCAATTTTCTAAATATTTAGTGACAGATATAATTGGTCTGAACATTTTTACTGTCTCTTGATAAAAAACCTCTTTTAATTTTGTAACAGTATCAAGTATCGGCAAGAGCAACTCCAGAAGAAAGTTGAAATGCAAGAAAAGCTAATGTTAGAAAAGACAGAAGAAGAAGCAGAAAAAGAGAAAAGACTGGAGGCTTTAAGAGAGCAGGTGAGTCTCTTATGATGTGTCAATGTGTTGGTTAAATCTTTTCAGATATGGGAAGCCAGAAAGAGAAGAAGAAATTCTGGCTGAAATTTACTTGAATACTGAAGTAATTCCATCCAGATTATTGTGTAAAATTTCATTTTTAAAAAGTTAATCTATTTCCATCTCAGTAAACAACTGGCTGTTAAATATATGTCCATCTATAATCATTAACATTTTGTTAGGCTCCATCTACCCAGGTTTTTGTTGTTACCTGAGTGTCAGGATTTCAAACATTTAACAACAAACATAAAAAAGGTTATTCTCTGAAGGAAAAGTTGAAGCAGAAAATTAGTTGAAATAACATTTAAATATTCTTTTCAGAAATATACAATAACAACAAAATGTTCAATTTTCCTTGCAGTAAAGTTTGTTTTATCAAGTAATTAAGTGTTCTTAGTGTTGTCTAAGATGTGTGGACAGACTAACTTTATGACAGTCAGCCTAATGTTTCTGTGAGTGTGTAGACACGACCTTAGTCAGCAGTTGCTGGCTGTCATCTTCTATTGTGTGTTTGGGTGTGTATATGCATGTGTACATCAAAATTGTTTTTGAACCCTGAGAAGCAGCATGCTTCTATTTTTATATCCATAAAAGGGCTCCAAAACCTAATTTCACATAGAAGTGCAATCTTTTTGAATACAAGGTTTTCCTAATTAGAAAATAATTTCACAGTGGCTTGTGAAAATCTTTTTCTTGAATTTGCTGGAGTGGTGAAAGGAGTTATTATTATTATTTTCTAAGTGGTCCAAAAGTAACATGTGGTAGTATTTTGGTGGTATTTGCCCTTGTAATTACTGTTTATCAAACAAACCTTCTGAAGGGATTTTATTGGTTGAAAAATAGTATTTAATTCTGATAACTTCTAGTCATTATGGTTTTATTCAGTCTATTGATAAAATAATTGATTTTATTTATCTAAAGTTAATGAAACCTCCCATATATATATATATATATATATATATATATATATATAAATAAAAATCAGGAGATAAGTTGAATCTGCTACCTGTGTTTCAACCTTATGGTATCTTCAGGTGATTTTTATCAAATGACCTCTTAAAGCTTTATTTAAAAAAAAACAAAATCCAATGATTGCTCAAATGCACAACATTGGGTGTAATAGAAGGGGAGGAGGGGTGTGTGAAGAAACAAGAAGAAGGGGTAAGAGAAGAAAAGCAAGAGTATTATAAAAGGATCAGTGGGGGTTAATTGAAACTGACCTTCTTTTTTCTATCCGACCTAAGATGTGCTTAAGATGAATTTCTTAATATGTATACAAGGACACAAGACTTTGGATTTATGGTTCAAAAGGTTCATTCGATCTGGAAATGTCATTATTGCTAATATTAAAAGAATTCTCTTCAAAATTAAAGGATTTAATAGGATTAGAAAAGTTGACCTATTGTCCAGTTCTGGGAGGGGAAAAAATGATCACAGTCTTATTTTAGCAACAAACACACATGCATGAAAACCCAATATGCAGACTTTTGAGGTAGTTGTCTTTTTGGTCTTCCCTTCAGACTTTCATCACTACTCCATTTTTAGATTAACAAATGGAATATTTTTGGTAGTAGAAAAAAGATTGATTATTTAATGTTAGATTTATTAATTTTTTATTTAAAATTTGCTACATTATTTACATTCTTTATGTTGGTTAGATCCAGTGACAAGACCCAAAGAGTGTGAGTTCAATACCCGGTTAAGGCAGTGGAGAACTTTCAGAAGGGAATTAACAGGAGATAACTGATAACTGACATCCATCAAACATGGCACATAGAACTAGAACAGTCTACCCCAGTGAGCGAAATAAAGGGTTCGGTTCAACATTCCAACCACCTGAAGAAGGCCGGAGCATACAACAGCCAAAACATTGTGATAAATTTGGCGACATAATACCTCATCTCAGAAATATAGACAGACTTAAAATTTGCTTGATCAACTTTCAATACCACACCCCCTACTCCCAAAAGGGTCAAGTCAAGCCTGATTGGTGGCCCCAAGCAGTGTACTTTGTGACCCTTGCTATCTTATCAACATTTGCTTTTTTCTACTTACATTTACTTTTTTTTAAAGCATTTTACCCCAAATAAGGCAGGAGTACCACTAGTATATAAGGGGTTATAGAGACTGAAAGTAACAGAAAAGACTGGGTATAGAGTGGGGGGCAATTGTGAAAAGGATAAAAAGAAGAACAAGGATCAAGGCATCAGAAGATGTCGATTGACATTACATTTAAATTTCTGAAGATTATAGTTATCCAAAAAGCTAGTAAGAGGAAGGGAGTTCCACTGTCGGAAAGTGTGAAAGAAGAACTGTTGGAGTAGAAGATGCAGTAACATTTAGGGTTGGACTGAGATGCCAACCTAGTAGCACGCTTAAATTCATGCACTCGGGGTACCAGTGAAAGTAGCTCATCAGAGCAGTTGCCATGAAAATATTTGTAGAAAAGATTGAGGGAAGCCACATCATGTTGGTGAGAAAGTGACTGGAGTTGAAATGCCAAGTCAGGACTGATCACATTACATACCTGTCTTTGGATTTTGTCGAGGATATCTAGATGAACAGCATGGGCACCAGACCATATATGGTAACAATATTCAGTGCATGGACGAATGGTAGATTTGTAGATGTGAAAGATGGTCTCAGGCAAGAAAAATCTTTTGGCACAACACAGAGAACCAACTTTCCTTGTGGTAGATGCAGCTATTGATTCATTGTAGTTGTTCCATCTCAGGTCAGTGGAAAACCTGAAACCAAGAAAGTGCAGTGAGATGTTCTCGTTAAGTTGAGCGTCAACCATGCTGACAGGAGACAGGGAGGTATCTCTATGGTGGACAAATGAGAGCAGTTTCATTTTGGTGACATTAAAATTTACAAGCCATTTCCTGCCCTAGTCGACCACAGATTGGAGGTTGTTTTTGAAACCAATGGCCAGGTTAACTTTGCCAGCAACGTCGGATTTACTATTGAGACAGGAGTAAATTATAATGTCATCTGTGTAGATGCCTACTTGAGAACTGACGACATCCAGAAGATTGTTGATGAAGATCAGAAACAGTGTAGGACACAGGATAGAGTATTGGGGAACATCAGCGTTCATATGAAAGGAACTGGAAAAGAATCCATTCAGGACAACCTTCATTTCACAGTTTAATAGGAATGATTTGATGAGATCAAATAATCATTTTGTAATACTGTATCCCAGAAGCTTATGTAAAAGGCTGGCATGCCAAATGACTTCAAGATATCTAAAGCCACAGTTCAAGCTATGCCATTATTATGAAGAGTTTGGTATACATATTTGGTTATGGACTAAAGCACATAAATGGTAGACTGGGTAAAACAGAAACAATATTGTTTGTCAGAGAGTAGGTCGTGGGAGGTAAGATGCTTAATCACTTCAGCATTGATTAAAGCCTCAAAGACTTTGCTGAAGAGTGGTAAGAGACTGATAGATGGGTCAGAAGGGTATCCAGGGTTCTTAAAAACAGGGACAACAGAGGAGGACTTCCAACAGGCTGGAAAGCAAAAGTCAGTGAGGCAATAGTTGTATAGTTTGGAGACAGCTCAGGAGTACATTTCTTTAAGACTATGGCTGGTATCCCATCACCAGCACTTGCTTTATGAGAGCCTAGTTAGAGATGATTTCCAATACCTTTGGTGAGGTTATGCATATCTCACTCAGTAGAGCTTCAGTTCTAGGGAGGAAATCACATGTCAGTACTCTGAATGAGTCAAGTGTTGGATGGGAATTTCTGAGCAAAGCATTCAGCTTTATCAGCTGTGGATGTTAGGACTTCAAATTGATTGAATAGAGGAGGGATTGAGGATTTACCATTGTTCAGCATACTCTTGCAGAGTCACCAATAATCTTTAGAACCAAACTTGTGAGATGCAATATGTTGTTTCATTCTATCAGCTAATAGTAACTTTGCTTCATTGAGGACATGTTTGCACTCGTTACGAGCAGAGACAAAGTGACATCTGTTGCAATCAGACATGTCACTCTGGTACAGACATAAGAAGAGATTTCTATTGGATATAGCAGCTGAGCAAACAGATGAGAACCAAGGAGATGTGTACAATTTAACTCAGTATTTTCTTGCTGAAAGCCTCGATGCCAGCTTTTACCCAGTAGGAGACCTCAGATGCACATTTTTGTACAGGATGATTAGAAACCACATTCCGAAGGATATTGTGAAGGAAATCACAGAACAAAACCCAGACTGCATGTTGATAACAGAAAGATATTCTGTTAGTAGGAAGTTCATGGCTGGATGGGGAGTGAAGGGAGATGTTAACAGACAGATCAGAGTTGCTAAGAGGGCAGAGCTACATAGTGCAACAGGAGACAGGGATGGAGGTAAAACAGAGATCAAGATGACAAGTGTTACTGTCAGGGTTACTGTAGGAAAGTCAACCACTTGTGTAAGGGATTGAGTGATTGAAAAGTTAAGGGTTTTGATGCCATCAAGGTCAGTTACAGTGTTTAAGCCACATTGTATGGTGGGCGTTAAAGTCACTGAACACAAATATGTTTGCAAATGGATACAGAGAGATGGCTTTGTCTATATTATTGGAAATGCTATCAAATGCACAACAGCTTTGAGAGGAAGGGGAAGAGTAGAAAAAAAGAGATAACTTACTGAATTCAGGAGAGATAGATGGCGACACATATATGAATGGTCTAGAGATTTCAAAGAGAGTTTCCTAGCCAGCAGAAGATGATCATTGACATTAACTCCCAGACCATGCATGTAGATTTTAGAGTCCTTTCTGAGGAGAAAAAGGTAGCCAGGAATCAAGAAATCAGAGGAAGGGATTTATGAGATAAGGTTAATCTTGCAGAGAGCTAATATATAGGGAAACTTATTGAAGAGGAATGATTTCACACTGCAGAAGTTGGTACAAAACCCATGGATGTTGGAGAAGAAAATCTTAATGGGTTTAGGTGATTTTTT